TGTAAGTTCTTGCCGATGTGGAGGTGCCTGACTTTGCTCTCCCCCCATAAGCAGCCTGAGAGGGAGAGGCTGAGGTCAACTCAGACAAACTTCATGCAGCTTTGCATTCAGACAGTCTTGGGCACCAGGACCAGTGTCATAAGTCATAAGTGCAAACTCCCTTCACTCACCACTGAGATGAGAAACTCTAGCTCACAGGGGTAGCTGTGAAGCTCTCATGAGGGGAGGTTTGCCAAGTACTGAGGTCTCAGGACTCATTACAGGTGTTCTCCACTCCCAAACCTCAGGATTCTGGGCCCTCCTACACAATCTAGAGGTTCACTCACCTTCAGATAGTCCTTCATTGCAGTGTCCAGCATCACCATGTCAGTGAGGAAAGTGCCAAGGAAGGGGACAACACCCTGTGTCATTGGGGGTAGGGGTGGGATGAGTCCCTGCTCTCAGGTGCACACAGGGACCCTCCCTTGAAAATGCTTCAGCCTCCTGGTCCACCCCAGGTTCTCACATGGAGCAGCCTAGGATCCCTAGCAGCCGCCTCTCAATTCCCCCTTACCCTCACCCTCCAAGGACATCAGACTTCTCCTAATCACCACCAGGGCCTGCTTTTAGAAAATCAAATTGTATGTAGTCCTAGGCCCCTCCCCACCCACAAATCCATTCTGCATCCAGCTGGATAGACCCTCCTCCTAGTCACTTTAAAATAAGAGTTTTGGAAGCTGTGGCAACAAGAGGAGGAGCTGGAGTAGAAAGGTCCACCTGTCTTGATATGGAGGCCTCCAGCTGTCTGAGAGGAGCCCTTCTCCTCTCACTCTGGAGGCTCTATTCCCCAGGAACACTCACCTTCTTCTGCAGCCTTTTCTGGGCTCTCTGGAGGCTCATCATCAGGGTGGCCCATTTAGATGGCCGCTCCTGCAGGGTCAAGGACAAGTTCATTGAGACCATAATATCCTCAGTCCACTCCCTCCCCCCCCCCCACCATCTTTGACTTGAGACCCTGGACATCTGACCCAAGTCAGCTGGTACCAATGCTACATTATCCTTAAGCATGCTGTGAGTGATTCTAGCACAATCTCAGCTCCAACATTCACTCCATGTGTGACCTTGAACTTGCAGCCTGGCCTTCCTGAGCTTGTTTTCTCATTGAGAAAAGTAAGGACACCACCTACGTCACATGGTCTTCTGAGGACTCAGTGTCCTATTACTATCATTATTGGTTCCCTCCATCCATCCCAACCCCACTACTGAGCAGAGGGCTGTCCTCTGGGCTCTCAAGCTGTATACAGGTCCCCATCTGGACTAGCTGTTAATATGGAGAGACAGGGTGTCTATAGCATCTGGTTGAACAGCACCTTCTTGCTCCACACCCAATGGAATCTTCACCCCAAACTGTAACCATATTCATACCAAAGGCTTCATGTCATTCCCCTACACAGCAGTCTTTCTTCATCCACTCAGGACCCTGTTCCCTCAGGCCCCACCCTCTCTCTTCCCAAACCTCCTCTTCCCATGATACCTTCAGGAGCAGTTCCCTTCTCTGTGGGTTATCTTCAGTGCACAGCTTTTTAAATTTTTGAAAGCTCTTCCTGAATAGAGGAAAAAAATGGCAGAAAAAATAATAGGAATAATGTGTCTTGATTGTAAGTCCCTCTTATTTGAGTACTCCAAAAAGTCAAACTGCCAGTATTAGGGTTTTCTCTGGATTCCTCTGAGAACTAAGGTGTTTGTAGGACATGGAGGGAGCTCTCATGTGGGTCATCCAGTGCCACCATTTCCATATTAATTGAGCAACTCTGTTTCAGTCAGTTGTGGTTTCAATTGGGCAGAGAGTTTTGTTGCTGTAAAGTAAGCACTTGATAATATTTAATTTGGGTCAACTCAGTGCGTGATATTTAAGAAAAATTATTTCTATAGCTAGAGTCAGGGTGGACTATTCTCCAGGGTGGGTTATGGACCTGTACACCAGCCCAGGTTCTATTGCCAGGGTTTGCTGCCTCCCAGGAGGGTCCCAGTTACTGAGGGGGAAAAGATGCGCATATGGGAAATCCCTCATCCTCCCTGATCCTTCTATGGAGAGAGGCATACTCACCCGGAAACTCTCTCCCATGTCTTCTTCAGACGGTAAATTGAGGCACTCTGCAGAGCAGAGAGGATGGCATGCAGTGAAGAGTAGTTCCTCATGATTTGACAGGCCTGGGGAGGGAAGAGAATGAGTGGTCATGTGGGTAGCAGGAGTCCTATTTGCTCTAAAGTATCAGCCTCCCTCAGTTTAAATTTTCCCTCCAAGATGACAGATATCCAGGTGCCTGCAGAAGGGCACATATAAGACCCAGAGAGTAACACTGCTGGGGAGAGGGAAGATTTTAGCTCATTCCAAGGAAGGAGCCAGGTAGGAACTGAGCGTTCCACCATTGGGACATGCAAGTAAAGGTCAGCATGTCCCTGGAGGGAAGAGCCTAGGGACTGTGCAGACCCTAGGGCTTAGACTAGGGACTCCAACCCTGAGAATTGATAAAGGAAATATCAGTTTCCAAGGCTCAGAAGAGTGACTCATCTTGGCCTCCCATAAAATACCTTGGCCACCTTTATCCAGTGCTCCACCACCATGGCCCTGTCCTGGGCTATCATTCTTGAGTTTCCAAGGCAGGTGGTGATGACACAGTTGACCACGCTGTTAAATTGGGTGACGGTAGCACAGACTGTGGGTGCCAGGTGCTCATTACCAGGCTTATTCCGCTTGGACCAGATGGAGCCCAGGCACTGATGAGGCAGCACCTTCTTGAACAGCTCCTAGAGAATGGGGTGGGGAGGGGAGGGGTGTTCAGCCAGCCATTTCACATTCAGGATTAATGTCCTAGGTAGGAGGTTACCAGGTCAGAGCTTTAGTTCCTGAAGCTGAGAATGTGGCCTGAGCCTGATTGGAATCCCTGGATTTCATTCCATTCTATTTTCACTGAGGGAGTCAAGTACAGGAAGACCTAGGAGTGAATACTGGCAGGGAAGGAAGGAGAGAATTTGGACCCTGGTCATCCTTGCTAACCCCAGCCTCTGGATGACAGTTCAATGTGACTCCTCACAAGGGGGCCTTTTCCACTCCACCTGTTTTTCCCTTTGGTCCTACTCTCCTTTCGATGCACATTCCCCCGTGACAGTTACAACCACAGGTTTCTCTGTTTCCCCTTATAGTTATGTACATGTCAGATGCCTAATAAGTGCACAGGGTGTTAAGCCTCCAAGGAAGATGGGTGGGTGACCCATGGACTTGGCTGCACCCAGTGAGCTGTCTTCCTCCACCTGAAGGACCAGGGCCTACCCATTTTTCTAGCTGTTCTAAGCTCATTTAATCTACACAGTAACTCTGCATCAATTCTTGTCAGTGCCTATCTCTACAGTTTGCAGCTGGACAGTGAAAGCTTGATTTAAGGACCTTGGCAGGGTACCATGGTTGATAAGTGGTCGAGCTGAAATTTGGACCCGGACTATAGTAGTCCACCTCAGGGAAAGGCAGGTCTGGGTTAGCTGGCGGCAAAAATGTAGAACGTGCCCTGCCCTGTCCTGCCCTGAGAGCCCAGCTTCTTACCGCATCTATGTACGTTAGCTGCTCTGCCACCAGCTTGGGAGGGAAGTCCATGAGGCTGGGCTTCTCCTCATTCAGCTGGTTCTTTGGGGTTACATGCCAGTGGCAGGAAGGCTCTGGCACTGGAGTTGGCTCTGTCTCTATTTTTAGAGCTGGAGTTAAAATTCTAAGTAAAGCTGATGATTGAGCTGATTGTAGCTGTGGACCTGGCACATATGCTGAAGAAGATGTTAACACTTGTTCCAGCTCTGGAACAGCTGATGGAGGTGATGCTGGCTCTGACACTTGAGATGATGGTTGAAACATAACTGGTGCTGTCTCTAGTTCCATAGTAGACCCCTTTTCTGGCTCTGCAACTGGAAGGAGCCCTGGGGATGGCACTGGATCAGGATAAAGAGAAAGGTTCATCCACATAACTGACTTTCCAGGTGCCTTCCCAAAAA